ACGAATAAATGGTGTTACGCTATAAATTTATTGTAACCATACTATCCTTAAGTAAAAAAAAAGGAAACCATGCTACCCTTAAGTAAAAAGAGAAAAGAAGCCATACCACCCTTAAGTAAAAAGAAAAGAAAAGAAGTCATACCATCATTAAGTAAAAAAAAAAGAAACCATGCTACTCTTAAGTAAAAAGAGAAAAGAAGCCATACCACCCTTAAGTAAAAAATAAAAGAATCCATACTACCCTTAAATAAAAAAGAAAAGAAAAAGAAACCATACTACCCTTAAGTTAAAATAAAAAAAAGAGGACTGATATGTGAAAATTACTACACACATAAGTAAGTTGATGGACTGTGCATGTGAAAATACGAATAGTATAGCTGCAAAATTGGAAGTGTATACATCTGCGAAGTAAGACTATTTATGAATACATTGCATCCTCCGTTTCTCAACTGATATTTTACATGGATGTTTAGTCGTGGGTTCTGAGTGAAACCCCCAATCGTTTCAGATTGTTGTATTATCGTAAGTAAAGTACTAAGCAGTGGCGTAAGTGTATATCCCCGCAATTGCGGAGGTTCCGAATCGTAACTACAATTATAGGGAAATAGATGTAGGGGGCTCAATTACTTTTTATGCAGGAGCATTTTTTGTAGTTATGCCACTGTTATTTAGGTGTGTTTTCATAAAGAAACTTTATCTTCACTTTTTGACAAGAGGTATATAAAATTTTAGAATCGTATACGAGGTATACGGCATTTAAAGCTTGCATACATTGCTGCCATTCAGTTTGATTTTTCGATAATACAAATTTTTTCTTTGAGATTGATTGTAATCTATACTTTGCTTTTACAGCTAACATAGTATCTGTAAGTATATGAAACACGTTAAACAAGTATAGAATTAGCTTCAAAATTAATCAAGTTGAATCTAATTACACATAGGGAGATCTGTGGTCAAATACACTGTCTTAAGATATATTTTTCATGTTGTAATTTGTTAGTTAGCTAGAGGGAGCTGCAGATTGTAATGATGTCATTAAATTAGGCCAAGAAAGTTCTAAAGATTTGACATCAGGTTTCATAATATATTAGAGGGTGGACCATAATAACAGGGTCAGCGAAGCATTTAGAAAATGGTTAAAGGATAATTAAAAGTCAGTAAGAAAAGAAATAATTAGTTGTTTCAATATAGTAGAGTCGTTTCTAGCCAGTTTAGAAAAGCTGTCATTTTTGTTTTTTTTTGTTTCAACCGTGAAATGGCACAAGCAAGTTTGTTCTTTATGTCAGTGTTGTACAGTTAGCGTCATCTTTAAACGTGACCTACAACCGTATCCGGTGAAGGCAGTTTGTAAAAACACTTAAGGAAGTAAAACGAACTTATCATTTACATGGACTGAACTTTGAATTATTTTCACTAGATAAATAAAAAAAAAAAAAAAAACAGCCAAGGAAAGAAGTTACAACAATATGAACGTAAAAGTTAACAATCGTGTATTGAATAGTAACAAGATTCAACATCATCAAGTTAGGTTTACAGTAATGTGCATCATCAACAAAATGTAAACAAAATTATATGTAGTTTATTATTGATAACGAAAGGTGAAGACGGTGATAAAAACTGTTTTAAAATATCGAATCTCTAGGTTATTGGGCAAAAGTCAAGTAGTCATTAAGTCTTGGAATCCATATTTTTCATTACTTTGTTATAACTGATAAAATAAGCCATCTTAACCCTTTGTAGCACGAATTATTAAAATATGGTGGAAAAGATGCTTTATTTTAATTACTTACTTAAATAGAAGATCTATAAGGGTACGTTATCTAGAAGTAACATTGTTCAATTGAGGAACCAACAAAAATAATGCCATGGTTTATTTAGACTGTTACCTGGAAATAAGAGCATTCAACTACAGGATTAAAGATAGGTTTGTTACCGGTACGTTACAATGTGCAGTAGAGAAATAAAGCCCACAGCCAATATAAAAACGACATATTTGTACACAGTCAAGCGAAAATATAACATTTCAGAATTACGTTTTCTTTATATATATTTATGAATAAGAGTGTGGATTCTAAAACTTAATATCGACCAGCGAACCTTGTAGTACCATTCAATGACAGTCACTTGCAAAAACAACAAATTATTAAACTAATTGATAAGGCGTTTTTTGTTGTTGTTGTTTTTTTCCCCCTTAAGTAAAATATCTTTTGTTGTAGCATTAATTACGAATAAAATAATTAACCAAATGTTTTGTTATCGTACAAGGCAGTTACTTGAATACAGTCCAAAGCAGTTAACATTATGCAAGTTTTCGTACAGGAAGGAAGGCTAAATGGATATTTAGACGAATCCAAAATCTGACAGAACCGGAGTTTATGCAACTTTTTTTTAGAGGTTACTTTAATTTATTTACTTTCTGCCATGCAAGAGGAAAACAAACCATTACAAGTACTAAATATAGTTTCTAAGCCACAAACATTGTGACGGAACGGCCATCTAGAATACGATAGTGTTTTGGAAAAAAAATTAACAATATATTTCTGATAATGATAGATGCTTGTTTGTTTTTGAATTTCGCGCAAAGCTACACGAGGACCATCTGCGCTAGCCGTCCCTAATTTAGCAGTGTAAGACTAGAGGGGAGGCAGCTAGTCATCACCACCCACCGCCAACTCTGGGCTACTCTTTTACCAACGAATAGTGGGATTGACCGTCACATTATAACGCCCTCACGGCTGAAATTGCGAGCATGTTTGGTGGGACGGGGATTCGAACCCGCGACTCTCAGATTGCGAGTCGAGCACCTTATCCACCTGGCCATGCAGGGCCCAATGATAGATGCAAATGAAATAAATATGCATAGTGCTTTATGATTTTAGATAACGATATACTTGACTTATCTTTTATTTTTTGAGCGGGATTCAATCCGAGATTGGCTTGGCATGGCCAGGTGGTTAGGGTGCTCGACTCTCAATCTGAGGGTCGCGGGTTCGAATCCTATCTTCCCCTCCCCCCCAAATAAACTCAAAAAACAAGAGGGAATCCTCAATAGCCGCAGCGCTTGAAATTCTTTTGGGTAAGATTAGAATAAATTAATCTATGAGACATTTTTTTTTATTATTTATATTGTTGTGTGCTAACAATATGAAGCATAGGGTGCACAAATACCTGATTCAATTTTATTACTTATCAGGATTTCTACCAGCCTACTCTCAAATTGAAATTATTTTAGGCAGGATTAGAGTAAATTAATCTATAAGACCTTGGGCATGGTCAAATACACCAGTTGAAAGGGTTTGACCTCCTGAATCCAAAACTGTAATTATATTTCAAATCAGTGAAGAGATGATGGAGCTATAAGCTAAAGTTTGTACTTGGTAAAAAACAAACTTGGAGCCATTCTATGAGCCACTATGTGATGGCTAAAAATGGATGTAACTTGGATAATTTAATAGACTGCAAATATCTCTGAACTCGGGATGTTCTGAAAGTATTGTTCTAAAAGTTTCAAACACAAGTCTCCCATTTATTGAAATAGAAAAACTTCTAAATCTGAAGCCTATGAACAGAATATGTACAAAAGACCTGGTCAGTGTTCTTTATTCAGTGTGCCCAATATATGCCATCATTACATGATTGATTTCAAGAGGTACATCTTCTACAGCTTTACAAAGCATATCAGCTCCTGTCCTCATCGTGCATCACAAATTTCTTAACTGAATGAAATATTTAGATTTTAACATGGTAAAATCAAGCACAAATAATGTGACACAAGTTAAACTTGAAGTAAAACATGTAAGTGTTTCTATTTAGTTGCCTGTGAAACCTTGGCAAATTTTAAATTATATTTTCATTTTTAGTTAACTTTTAAAGGTTTTAAAATAATACAAGCATAGAAATTAAAAGTATGCATCAACTATATATATCAAACGAAGTTGTTTTACTCCCTAATTACTTTAAAATGGTTTTATTGGAGTAATTTTTTATTTATTGGTAGAGAAATAATTTATTAATGCTGCTTTGTATACTGAAAGTAATTTTTTATTTTCATGAAACAGATGTACAAAATGATCTATTATTAATAAAATGCTCACTTTTTTGATATTTAAAACAAGTTATCCAGAAGCAAGGTATTATAATTGAATATAGTACACTGGTGATAAGTATTTATCTTCTAGATGTGCTTTTACTAACTAGTAAAAAGACTTTTTTTTATTTCAGGACAATTAATGGTCACATAATTTGCAATAGTACAATGAAATAAAAAAGGTTCATTGGGATTTCCAAACAAAATATTTAATGTTTTTTGTTTTTTTTGGTATATGTGAGAAGTTTCTACCCTCATGTTCCTCAAGAATGGTATAATATTAAATGAAATTTTGGTAAAATGGAATTATGAAATATTTCATCTGTTGTATTTTAAGAATGTTTGTTGTTGTTGTTTTTATTGGTAGTTTATAAGAATATGTTAAGACTTACAAGCATTTCATTATTACTGTTTGTAGTTACAACTGAATTATATAAAATCCAGTGAGTTTTTTTTACTGTGTGTATTAAACTTATTCCCACTCATACTTTTATTAAAATAGTGTTATTACATTGGGACATATAAAAGAACAATAAATTTTGTCTTTAAATGTTGTGACCTAGATTATTTTTTAGATGTTGTATTTTAATATGTTCTAATAATATCTTCTATGACAATGGGAAAACATACTGAAATTAGTCTATCTGAAAATTATCATATCTTATTTTTAGAAAGAAAAGTAGTGCTTTGACCACATGAACAATGAATACACACTTCCTAGAATTCATCTAGAAAAGAATAGTAACATGGTAATTTTATCTCTGAGAAGTTAACATTATTTCCTTATACTTGCAAAATATTTTATTATTGATGAATAAATCATTTTTAATAGATACATGTAAATTTTGTTTATCACCAGAGCTTTGTTAACCTGATAATTGAATAATCTTTTTTTTTCTACATGTACTTACAGGAACGAAGAATGACAGGATATTGTACTAGTTGTATAATTCATCCTTGTAAGCATGCACAGTTACAAACTTCCTGTTTTGGTGTCTTTTTATCTGAAAAGTTTTCTACCTCATGTCTTCAGTCACAAGTTCCAGTGGTCAACAAACCAGGAACTGATTCTGAAGTTTTTCCAGATCCTCATAAGCTTGTAGCGACTGATCTTGCTGATATGTATTTAGAAATTAAAAAGGTGTTTATTTCAAAAGTTATTTTAAAAAACTGAAAATAGCAAGAAAAATACTATTTTATTGTTGATCTTATTTTAATTTTACACTGCAAGTATAATCAAGAACTTAAACTTGACCAGTGCAACAATGTAAATACAGCACATTAAAGTACTTGTTTCAGGAAAGTCAGTTTTTGTTTTATATAGATGTTAATCATTTCAATGCAGCTATACTGTGCTTAGGTGCTTTATATTTGGAAAAATACATGTTTAAGACACTTTGTAATTTATAAAGTTCTTCAACTAAATTTGTAATTTATTTATCTAAGTCACTTATTAAGTAGAAGTATGAATAATAAATGTTTTGTTTAGATATTTTGAACAAAACTTTTTGTATTACTTTTATTATCTGGAAAAGTTTTTAATAATAGCTTTATGGTTTGGGATATAATATTCACTATTATTTTTTTGTGCTTAATTAAAAAAATATTTTGGAAATGCTGTAAAAGCAATAATTCTAATTATTTTTTAAATTTGTTAATTTATACCTTATCTTTTGTTACAAAATTCCAAAAATTATTGTTACAGCATTATTTCTTAAATATGTACAAATTTATCATTCGAGTAAAGTGTGTATGAATAATATTTATTACAGCAAAACTTTTGTGTGCTAGTTGTGACCACTAGTTTGTGAAAATATTTTAACATGAAAGATCTTTATTATTTTAGTATTCTGCTTAATTAGTCATTTCTATTACACAATCACTTCAATTATGATGGAAAGACAGTACAAATATGTGATACCAAAATATATAACTGGTTTACGTATGTAGAGATTGAACTTACTATCTGTATAAGTAAAGTATTTGATTAATTTTTTTATTATTTCAGTTTGTTTGGTAAATGAAACCTACATTTGATTAAATACTTACAAAATCAGTTCCTAACCAAAAAATTTTTCAATTTTAACCCATTGTTAAGAATTGAAACGATTCTATATTTTTTCTTTGTAGGAATTGTGGGTACCAAAAAAAGAGCTAGAACAGATATCTAGCTATTACTTTGATGGACAGGGCAAAGTGTTTCGTCCAATGCTTGTATGTCTTGTGTCTCGTGCTCTTCATTTTCATATTCATCATGAGAAAAGGTATGCTTCTTACAGTTAATGATGATTTTGAATGGGTATTAAATTGTTTGGCTTAGTCCTTACTTTTTTAGATTTAACTGAATTTATCATCCGGAAATATTAATATAACAGATATTCTTTTTTTGTCACTGAAATTGTGAATTCTGATGAGAAGGAACCAGAAAATCAAGTCTGTTCTTGGATTTGCCATATGTAATAAGGATGAAGGTGATATTTGGTGATGCTTGCAAGTGTTTTCCATTAAACAACCAGTTAGCCACGAGCTCTCACTAACACTGGCAAATGGAATTGGGAGGTAGCTCTTGGTGTACAAAAATTGGGATAACATGCCAACAATATTGTTACTGTGCTATCTTTGCTGACATGGAAGTGTTTGTGCATCATGTATGCAGTAAGTCAGTGGGAAATGGATGTGAGGATTAACAACTGAGCAAAAATTGCATTTTAACTCAAACTGTGTAGCTAGACCTAGAACTAGCATTGTAAAGGATTGGCAACTTCTGCTTCCTGAAAACAAGAGCATGAATGAAAATCATGAAACCATGTTTTTTCTCTTATTAATCAGTTAAATTTTACACAGAGGTTGTATGTTGAATAAAAGCTTGCTTGATATGAACCTGAATGGAAGAATGACATTTACTTTTATCTTCTCATGGTCATCCACGTCTGTGATTTTCTTTAACAGGATAAGATTGTATAAAACAAGGAGCAGTGGTCACAACTGGCACTTTATTAAACATTTGTAAGTCAAGAAATTTCAGCCTTTTCAACTTGCAAAAGCTTGTTTGATATGAATCTGAGTGGAAGAATGACATTTATTTAATATCTTCTCAGCAGTGGACAAATAGCTATTATCCCTGAATGGCACAAGCAGGTATGAAGTAAGGGGATATGCTGTACAAAACCCTTTTTTGTAGTGAAGTTCTTAAAGGACTGTTCTTGAACACTGGCATTGGTGTAAATGTCTAGAAGACAAAGTAGGTTGTCACATACTTCCTTTTTGGTGAGGAGTCTTTACTCATTCAAATTCAATCATTCCTGAGGACCCAGAATGCTGATAGGACTTTCTTCTCTGTATGTATACTTATCTCAAATAGAAAAGGTGATACAACTTTGCATAATTCTTGTTGATAAAATAAGAAATTATAATGTTAAGTAACGTGTTCTTGAGTTAAGCATCAAGTCAGCAAGTGGAAATAAATTTGCTGCATCAGGTTACACCAAACAGAGTAATGTTTATTCATCTCTGTTTTTCATAAATTTTTTTAACTACTCTTCTTTTTCACTATAGAGTTACTCTTATTTGGGTCAGTTGCCCTTTCATTATCACTAAAATTATGATCCGAGGAATGATACAAGAAAATAAAACAATCTTGCTGCTGATAGCCACAATGCAACTGAAATGTTGAATTTGAAGTATTAGTTTATCTTGATACTTGGTAACACAGTGCTCATTTTGTGCAAAGAAGCACATAAGCAGCATGAATCATGTATATATCTATATATCTATATATATAATTATTTCATTGTGACAGTACTGACACCCTTACTTTGAATCTTGTCAAATGTGAAGTTTTAAAAAATGTGCTTACCTCAAATATACATCACTTAATTTGGAAATGAGATTTTAAATAGAGGTCTGTCTACAGTGGAACTAAAGTCTACAAATGGGATAGGAATCTGTCGAGAGGAACGAGTTAAAGGACAGTAAGTGCTCACAGCATTGATGATGGCTATAATTGTGATGGCTATAAAACAAAATGGACCAAGATCATAATTAATACTCACGTACATCTTATAATTCTGTAACTCTTGTACAAATGTACTATTCATCATCTTCGAGGTATCTGCCACTTTTGAGCAAAAGGTGTGTTTTCCTTGAGTAAAGTGTTTAATAGCACTAGCATTCACTCTTGGTAAGCACTGAGAAAAAAAGTCACTCCTGGATGCAGATTTGACCTCTTGTAGTGATGAAGTACAGTCTATGCATATTGTGTTTGAATTGTCCTTTACTCACCACTATACTGACCAACATTTACATAGGTATTACATGAATAATGCACGAATTCCTTCCTTTTTTACCAATACTGTGAATTTTGAGAAAAAATTTATTTTCTAAAACGGTTTTGCTACTAAACAGTATTATAGAATAAAGTAGTAGCATGAATGTCACTTGTTTTTCCAATATCTATATAAATACAAGTTAATTGTGATACGTAAAGGACAATTTAAACTATATACACGTAAATTGTACTAATTGTTGAAATATTATTTACACATTTTTAGACGAGTTTTCCCTAAATGTAGTGGAAAGTATAATATTTTGTGTCACATTTGTATATTTAATTTTTTTATGTAAGTGAATTGTATGTTTCAAATTAAAACATAATAATAGCCATTTTTTTGTTCAGTGCAAATTTTTATAGCCCAAAATATACATGCAGTTGTTTTTGAATATGTTTATAACAACTGAATTTTTATCATGTATTGTTTAGTCATTTTATAACTTTGATTTACTTCACTTACCTTTTACATTTCTTTATAGAATAATCATCTGTTGTGGAAATAAATCCCAAATTTATACATTATTGTAGACACTAACATGTAACTTAACTACATTTTAGGTTGTATGAGTATTTCCTCAGATTTAGACATTATTGTAGATAATAACATAAATTCACTTTAAATGTAACTTAACTACATCTTAGGTTGTATGAGTATTTCCTTAAAGTTACTGAAAAATGTGATTCACATTATCTGGAACTGAGAAAAGCTGTTGACATACAGGGTAAAACAATACGTTCATATCTGACTTAAAAAAAAGGTAAAAATATTCCATCTTGATA